CTCCCTCTCTTCCTCCCTCTCTCCCCCCCTCCGTCTCCCTCTCTTCCTCCCTCTCTCCCCCCCTCCGTCTCCCTCTCTTCCTCCCTCTCTCCCCCCCTCCCTCTCTAAACAACTAATTGATGATGAGAATAGTTGGCAACTATTCTCATCATCGATTATTGTCGATTAGTTGTTGCAGCCCTAAACATTTGATTAAGGGCCTTAGTTGCATAAGTTTGCAACTATATGTGAAAGTCAGAAATCACTGTTAATATACCTCTGTGAACGTGCGTCCTACCCAGATCAATAGGGGTACTAACACTGTGACATACATGGGAATGACTAAATTGATAGTAAGATTTTACCTGCTGATTCCTTCTCTAATGTCCACTCTCCTTGTTATGATTGGATTATACTGTCTGATACTGCTCCTCTTACAATTCCACATATTGAGTATTGTACATAAGATTAGGGCACAGCAAGCTAACAGCTTTCCTTTTTTCTCACTAGAATAATATTAAGCTTCAAGCTTTTTCAGTATGGTGTTGCAATCGTCAGTGACCCATACACCAATCGGAATTTATTTTACACTAATCTGACTACAGTTAAATTACTGATTGATGTCAATGACTTTAAGCCTTATTACTGCTTTTTGTTGTTTTTTTATGTGATAAGCTCATATGAGTCCATCAGGTATTGATTATCCTTTCCTCATACAGATCCTGTAGGCACAATAGGCGGGCAGCCAGCTCCAGGTGTCGGCATGCCCTCAATGTATCCCGTCCCGGGTCATTCACAGGAGCACACTGTGTAAGTAACTGAAAAAAGGTGAAACCAACTTCACACTTTGACATCTGCAAAAATGTGACCGGGACTTGCACATCTTCTTTTTTTTTTTTTTTTAAATAAAAAAAACAAACAACAGAATGTAGTGTAAAATTGCTTATGCCTATATCTTGATCAGATGCAGACGCACCTTTATACACCCGGTGGGCTCTTGTCCTACCAAAACATACATATCAAAAAAGATAAAGAAATGAAAGTAGGATGTCAAGCACTGTACTATCACCTGGATTTAACAAAAGGGGTTATATCAAGCTTTAATAATGCACACTGTTTACCTGTGCTGTATAGTATATTGTATATGTACTAACATTTACTCAATTAATGTATTTTTAGGGGCTATAAGCAGAGAGCAGAGGCTGCAAAAATGGCCAGTTTAGGATCATTTCCAGAAGAAAAAGCTCATCAGAATCGGCAGGTTGCTCAATCTTATCAGAAAGACCTGGATCAGCAGGTATAATTTCATATCTTCATTGGCTTCCACTGCTGCTGGAATTCAGTGAGATATAATGTCCAGCAGCTGGTTATCCACAGCAGTATTAAAAGAAAGGGTACCTGTTATTTGTCTGCAGATAAGAGATCGGAATGAGAAGCGCAGAAAAGAGAAAGAAGAGCACGAGCGATATGAATCTAAGCTGGAAGCCGAAATGAGGAGTTACAACCCCTGGGGTAAAGGAGGAGGAGGGGCTCCACTCAAGGATGAAAAGGGAAATCTCATCAGTAAGTGTTTACGGAATGAAAATTCTACAGGTGTTCTATGTAATTCTATGTGTTGTAGAGCTTCTAGGTTCTGACTAGCTTACATGAACATTGTATATCACAGTAAGGAAGTAATGTGAGCTCAGGCTATTGAAGACTTTCACAACACAGGCTATTTGCAGCAAATTAGTAAAGGTGACCAGGTAAAAAGGGGAACATAGCCTGGAGTGCCATTTGCTGGATGCAAGGGCTAAATATGAAGTATATGCATTGCAGTATTTCATATTTACATATTTACTGACTAATTTTATTAACACAATAAAGGAATTACTTCCAAAAACACCATATATTCCCTTTCATTCAGTAAACTACATTTTATGTCTGCTTGTTCCCTTACAGCTGATCTCAAGCGCATGCATAAGCAGAATGAAAATGCTTCTCAGAATCCAGAATTAAAAGCATTTGAAGACAAGAGAGCTGTTGTAGTAGTGGACACAAGCCTGGCTGATCATACATCATCCACTGGAAAAATACCAGGTAATTCTGGAAGTATAACACGGGCAGGTAGTGTTATTACAGAGACAATGAAATGGCTTCGCTGGTAATTATTCAGATAAATAGTGTTATACACAACAGTCCATATCCGTCAGTCCCTGTGGTGCTATTACACTCTCTGCCTACACAAATCTCACTCTGAATGAGATGATTGCTCCGTTGGGTAAACTCCAGAGCGGTGTCTTTGCAGCTGGGTAGACTCACTCACGCCTCCTGACCAGCAATGTATAGATACAAGTAGTGCTGTTCAGCCCCTCTGTTCATTTGTCTTGCCAGGGTTTTCATTTGCAAATCAATCTCAGTTTGCAAGAGGCAGTGTGTTCAATGAGCCCCCCACTGAACAGCAGGTGCATCAGCAGGAATCCTACAAGAACTTCTTACGCCAACAGGTAACTGTTTAATTCAGACTGCCAGCTCTATTTGGCAGTGCTTTGGGTAAAAACATCATCTTCAATCTATGAAAGAATAACAAAAACATTAATTCCATGAACAGATTGAAGAGAAAAGACGTAAAGAAGAAGAGGAGAAAGAACAAATTCGTATGGAAGATGAAAGAGAAGAGAAGCGTGTTGCTGAACAAAGGGCCAAAATTCAGCGAGAATATGAAGAGGAGCAGAATAGGAAAAAGCTTAAAGAGGAGGAAGTAATGGAATTTCACACTTATTTGGGATTAGTTATGGGGCGGACAGTAGTGTTTGTATAAATGTCCAATTATGTGGAAAGCTCTGGACAAAATTGGTTATACATGGATTGAGTTTTATTTTTTGGAGGCCTGCGCGTCAACCATCTTCCATACAAAGTTATACTCCTCTTTCCCCCATCTCATTTAGTGATTAAGATTCTTTCAGTGATGCATTACATAGTCTGAAAACTTGATATTGGCATTCTGATGCCCGCTCAGGTGAATTCCAACATATTTGGTTCAACTGCAAATCTGATGTTAACATGCTGTGGTGTTCATTGAAGGCCACTTAAATAGTTTGAGACATGTTTTTTGTAGGAACATCTTCATTGCTTTGTTTTCATTATTTATGTGAAAAGCACTTTATTTTACTATTTTAGATGTTTAGAAATTGCTACATCACCAAGACATTTCCATTTCAATCTTTATTTTGCTTTGACATTTTCATTGCTATGGAGCAAGACTCCTCTCAGACATACTGTATTGTCCCACAACAAGTGGATTCGTTTTTTTCAGTCACTCTTAGCCCTCGTTCACACCTAGGCGTTTTGAGCAGTTCGAAAACTGTCCAACACAAGAAATCCCATTACTTCAATGGCCCTGGGCACCTGAGCAGAAAAACACTAGCAGGAAAATTCCAGATGCCTGAAAAGATACAGGAGCTTCTTTGGGCAGTTAAAAGCGCTTTTCCTCCCTATAAACTTCATTGGAAATGCCCAAAAACGCGCAACAGAAGCATGTTGCATATTTTCGTGAGCGTTTTTGCGCGTTTATATGCGCGTTCTTCCATTGGCCACAATGGTTTATGAGCTGGCTATCAAAACGCGCGCCTTCATGTACGCGCGTTAAAACGCGCATACAAAAGTGCACAACGCGCACAAACATGCAAATAACCTAACGCACAAAAACGGTGCCGCCTAGGTGTGAACCAGCAAAATTGTAGGAATGTCATTAGCACACCAGTCCTTTTAGGCTAGCAAAAGCTTATTTTTTTGAAATATGACCAACAAGCGCTTTTGGGACCGCACAGGGTCCCTTCATAAGGCTTTAGCATTGACCATAAGCCTTCATCAGGCTTTAGCCTGATGAAGGGACCATGTGCGCTCCCGAAAGCGCTTGTTGGTCATATGACAAAAAAACTTCAATAAATGAAGCTTTTGCTATCCTAAAAAGACTGGTGTGCTGGTGACATTCCTACAATTTTGCTGACATTCGCGTCGCCATCCGCAGTCACTGCAAGCACCCCCCACTACAAGGGACATATCGGCAAGGAGTGCGACAAGGATAGTACTTATTATTAGGTGTGAACCAGGGCTCACTGATAATGTGAATGTTTATTGGTAGATATGGGACATTGATAAATGTGTAATTATCTATCCATGGATCGGGTTATGTATTTTGACACATTAAGTGGGGCCCACTTCCAGGAGCTTAGATACTAATAGTATTGCAATATTGTATCAGCAAAGGCAGACAAATGAAGAGTTGGTTCGTCTCGCAGATGAAAAACGTAAAGAAGCTGGAAGAAGGAAAAAAGAGGAAGAGGCAAAACAGGAGGTGGAACTGAAACACTTTTATGAAGAGCAGAAGGCAGCCGATGTGACTGAAGAGAAAGAGAAGGTAAGTAGTTATATGTAGTGATATGTTTTATTTTGTCTTCAGGCTTGTACAAGCCTCATTCTCACCTCTACAATTCCACTTATGTTGTATGGAAAACATGAGACACTGCTCTCCCTACGTGTAGATTAGAGAAAATTTGGCTCTTATCACTTGTTACGGGCAAACCCAAGCATGCTTTAGACCGGGAACTTGTTTTTGTTTTTTTTGTTTGGTGCAATTACAGTTCAGTATAGCCTAATAGACTCTAGGTAATCAACACGTACGGTCTGATAATTGTAGTGTTGTGAGCAGTGCTTCCACACCTCGCTCTATGTCCTCAGCCTGACATGTTATATTTTTTATTTTGTAGTTACAGTCTCCAAGGCTGCCATCTCCAGTGATCCCTACCTTACGGCACAAACTAACCTCCCGTACACCGAGACCGCCAACTGCTGAGAGCGAAGTGTCCATCAAATCACATGTATGTATTTCCAGTGGGGTTTTTTTTTCCATCTTACTGAATTATGTTTTTATTTTTCCCAAACTGTAAAACTTGCAAAAAGTTGCTGGTTTTGTTCTTGTCCTTCATAAATTATTTTTAAAACAATAATTGCAGTAAGTGGACTTTTTTTAAATTAATTACCTTAGCTTAGCCAAAAAGTCAAATCACTCAGTGAACTATTAAAAAATGGTTAGTTCACCTTTCCTAAAAAAATTGCTCATGCATTCAAGTGTCCCCAGTATATAAAAACCCCACAAATGCTCAGGTTTGGCAAAATAACCTTTTCCTTGTCATACCTCTAGGCCATGTGCAGCCTCTCCCAAGCCTGTTTGAAAAACTTAATGTGAGGAACCCTCCCCATTCTGCCTCATTTTTGGGAATCATGCAAATGCTTAATGGAGAACTATGAGGTGAGTGCTTTTCACTCACCTCATAGTTCTAGCCGACGTGTGACAATGAGACTATCACAGGTCGGCTCAGTAGATTGGGAGGTGAGCGAACACAATCAGTAGATTGGGAGGTGAGCGAACATGCCGGTGTTCGCTCACTTCTCGATCCTGTCACGGCTCTCTGCCGTTACAGGGGAGGGGATGGATTCCCCGCTCCGATCCGCCAGCGCTGACTGGCAGGATGGACGGGGGAGGGGGCGGGTACAGCTGGCTCTGCCTCTAGATAGGCAGAGCCAGCTGTCACTCACGCAGCTGGGCGGATCTCGACATCAATGTCGGGATCCGCTCCGGCTGCGGCGTCTCAGTATACCGCAAGCTGTAGCTCGCGGTATACTGAGCTTAGGGTGACGGGAGGACGCTAGTTTGTGTCCTCCCGTTACCCTAAGGAGAACTATGGGGAAAAGCCCGGACCCCCATAGTTCTCCGTTAATATCCATTTTAAAAGTGCGGTCTGGGGACAGTGTCTTATTAAGCTTAACTTGGCCAGATTTCAAGTGTCTGTATACAGCCGAATATCAAGGAGGCACCACAGTGTCACAATGAACACACAGAATACTAACCTAGTCACATTCAGGTACCTCATTGCACCTGCGATTCAGCTCTGTTGTTACCTTAGTTTAATTGTAGGCCAGATCAGATTTACTTTCAAACAGTTTAAATGCAACATTTTTATGTTTGACTGCAGTGTACCAATAAAATCCAGAATTCACCATTTCATGATGATTCATGGTCAGTGGTAGGGTTTTGCCTAGGTGGGTACATGTATAATACAACATTATCAGGTAGTGATCCGTGCATTACACAATATTGTTATAATGTCAGATGTCCTTTTTCTGGCACAGGATGAGCCCAGGACCCGTACAATATCTCCACCGGTTCCTGCAAGGCGCACTCAACTCAGAGCTTATGGTAAGTTATTCCAAACCTTTTTGATTTGGGATCATGACTGAAAACTGTGTATTATAGGGAATCACTCATTTATATTGTGTTGTGTGTGTGTGTATGTATGTATGTGTGCTTATGTATGATTATATATTTGTCATTAAACTTTTTCCTAAATGTGAGACATTATACAAATGGTCATGTTTTATTTGGTTGTGGAACTCTAATTTCATGTTCATTTAGGCAGATTCAGAGACCACTGGGTAATATGCAGGTATCAACAGGTGATTGGACACTGGTCAAACCCTGATATAACCCCTCACACGACCAAGAATCCTCAGTTTTTTGCTAGTGTCCTTAGTTGATGGATGCCTTTTCTCTACTGATGGAAATGTATGTAGGGTTTCTTACCTTATTTCTGGTGATTGGAAAATCAAGCTTCTCTGGCTGCATCACGCCACAGCGGCAACCACACAGCTTTTGGATTGGTGCCCCACGGCAATAGCCCCAGGGACCGGACCCCACTGGATGGAAGGAGCAGGGCCGGCCTGTAATTTCACTTTGGGCACTTCATCCTGTGTTAGGCACCCACCATAGGTTGCTACACAGTTCCAGGACAGTGGTATATCCACACTGGTATGACCCTGTCCCTGAAGACCCAGGTATACTCACTTGACGTGAGAACAACAGAGGCCAGGCTACTATGTACATGGCCTGGCTGACTGTCGGCTTTCCAGGCTGGCATTTCTTTCAGTCTAAATGCATAGTCTTTTTGGCTTAAGCACTGGTCAGCAGGACCAGCTTGTAAGAAGCAACTTGAGAGGATTCCCTTCATGGCAGAACAACTTTTTCAAAGAAGACCTGGGCACATTTATTAAGAAGGTCACGGGTGATAAGAGCATGCTTTTACCCAGAAAACAAAAAAACTAAAGTTCCTCCCAGTAGGCCCACCTCAGTCTCAGCCAGAAAGAGCTTCTTTTAAACCTCTCAGGCTTCCACCTTCACCAAGGCAAAGGCTGGCTTCCACTTCAGATGCAAGCCCTAGACCCCTAAACTGGCCAAACCTGGAACCATGTCCTCTTTGACAATGACAGGTCACCCCCACTTTCAAAAGTGGAGGGACGTCTGTTGGCTGTTGTGGCAGTTAAGGTTCGAGACATCCAGTATTTGTGGGTTCACCCTGTGGTTCCCAGTGTTGCAAACTGGAATCTTGTCCCTGCCCTCCTACTTGCTTTATGCATTCTAATCTGCTCTCTTCCAAAAGATGGTCTGCAGAGGGTGATACAGCAAGTGTTTTCCTCAGGGGTCATTGCCCTGTTCTTTAGGAGAAAAAGTTCCAGGGGTTCTACTACCATCTGTTTATGGTTTCCAAACTGAACAGAGGGGTGCATGCCATCGTGGACCTGAAATCCTTCAACAATTTTCTGCTGGTTAGCAAGTTCCGCATGGAATTGGAAGGCTTAGTGATTGCTTCCCTCCAACAGGGGATGTTCTTGCTTTAGTGGACATCATGGATGTACCAAGTTTTCCTCCACAATTTGTGCTTCTTCCATTTGGCCTTTACACAGCCCCATGGGTGTTCACAAAGATACTAGCTCCCATTCTTGCTCTCTTGCGTTCTGATGTTGAAGGCTGAGTCTGAACAGACTCTGTCGACCAACATTTAGAGAATGATTCTGACGCTGCAGCGTTTCAAGTAGATCTTCAGCCTTTGGTAGTAGTCGGTGGACCCCATTCATCATCTGGAGTACATGGGTCTTCTCCTGGACACATACCAGGCCCCCGGTGTTTATTCGCCTATCAAAGATTCTGTCTTTGTATTCACAGGTGCAGACCCATCAAACCAGGGACTAGCCCTCAGCGAGGTTCCGCATGAGGGTCCTGGGTTTGATGTGGCCTCCTTCAAGGCAGTACTCAGTTTCACTCCAGACAACTTTAGCTGAGCATTCTAGCTGAGTGGGACAAAAAAACTCACTCTCTAGATCGTCCTGTGCATCTGTCAGACAAAACGTGAAGTCCTGGAAGTCTTTCCTTCCACTGCGGTACTGACAATGGACACAAGCTTGTTGGACTGGGGAGGTGCCCTAGGGACCTTGACTGTACAGGGAACATCAATCGACGAGGGAACTCAGACAATCCATCAATGTACTGGGTCTTACAGCTATTCAGCTCTCCCTGCAGCACTGGACGAGCTGTCTTCTGGGGTCCGTTCTGGCAATGCCATGGCTGTGGCATACTTCATCCATTAAGGGGTAACCAGAAGTCACATGGTTCAAAAAGAAGCGGCCTGGGCAGAGCTTCACGTCCTAGCCTTTAGAAGAACTGTTTCTTCTTCATAAACATAAAGTGGCTATTGGGACTAAGGATTCTTTTTTTGCCTAAGATGATGTACTCGTTTTATCTTAAGCAGGGCTTTGTCCTTCTTTCTTTTTGTCCGGCTCTGAAACATCCTAGGGAGGTTTGCCTCCACTGCCTGGATGTGGTTAGAGCCATCCATCTGAGCTAAGGCTTCGTTCAGTTTCTTTGTGCTTTCTGAAGGACCTAACTGAGGGCTCCCTGGGTCTTGTTCCATCATGCCTAGTAGGTTTGACAGGCCATTGTGCCTTCACAGGAAATGGTAGAGCCCTAACTTTAGCACAATAGGCATGCACACTCTACTAGACCTTTCAGTGCCTCTTGGGCTTTTCAGCGTCAAACATGTGCTCTACAGAATTGTAAGGCCACCACCTGGTTTTCTTGTCACATTAAGTTCTATCATGTGGATTTCCAGGCCTCTGCTCATGCTACTTTTGACTGTAAGGTATATAAGTTAGGGTTTCCCTTGTTTCTGTTATGTGGGCCTGCTGGCAGTTCTATGCTATGTTGCCCACCCCTCTGTTTTATTGCTTTTGTACTGTACGTCCCAGTCATCTCTGTACTATACAATCAAGAAAATAGGATTTTTAACTTGGCAGTAAAATCTGTTTCTTGGAGTACAGTACAGGATACAGGACCCTCCCCTCTATGTCCTCTATTGCTTGATAAAAAACTGCGTATTCTTGGGAGAGGGAGGGTCTATAGGTAGGTCCTCACAGCTCTGGCCAGTGTCTAATCACCTGATAACTGCATATTCGTCTCTGAATCTGCCTGTGCCTTGTACTATGCTTCAAGAAACGGATTTAACTGGTAAGTGAGAAATCCTATTTTTCTTATATTATGCCGGATATTTCTTGTCTATAAATCCCAGCCTCTATGTAGAGCTGGTAATGTTTTGTACATAAGTCCCAGTTAATTGTTTTATTGTGACATTCTTGGGTTTTCACTTCAGAAGAGAAGAAGAATGTGATTACTGAGCTGACTGAGCTGAGGAAGCAGCTGCGCAGTGAGCAGAGACGTTTAGAGGGCCGTTTACAAGATACTGACAGAGATGATGAGTCTCTCCCCTCCAGGAGCGGGTATGCGTTCTACTATACCTCTATATCACTGAACCACACTTCTATGGTACTTTAGCACAGATCCTGCTGCACTGGACGTTGCAGGGATAGTTTGGAAATGACCTTCTGGCACTGGTATCTGCATGGGGTGCTTTCCAGTCTTTGTTCTTGTAAAAGTTAGATATGGAGGGCTTTCCAGGTCCAAAGCCACTGGCATTGCCCCAGTACTTGCCCTGTCTCTAAAGACTCTGTGAGTAGTCCAGTTGCGCTCAGCAGTCATTTAAAACTCTTAAGACTGTGAAGACTTTCCCTTTGCCCCCACTTTTTTTAACTCTTCCTCATTAAAGATTGGAAACACTCTGATAAGCAGTTTTCTCCCTCCCAAGCTCCCATTTGCCTTGTACCTGTTTGGGGAAGACTTTGTGCAGAAGTGCTCTGTTCCCACTGTGCATCCGGCGATATCTTGGCCTTAACAAGGCGCTCACTTTTCTGGTAGAAGACGTGCCTGTCCTTAAAGGAGAACTATGAGGTGAGTGATTTTCACTCCCCTCATAGTTCTAGCCGACCTGTGACAATGAGACTGTCACAGGTCGGCTAGAACTATGAGGTGAGTGATTTTCACTCCCCTCATAGTTCTAGCCGACCTGTGACAATGAGACTGTCACAGGTCGGCTAGAACTATGAGGTGAGTGATTTTCACTCCCCTCATAGTTCTAGCCGACCTGTGACAATGAGACTGTCACAGGTCGGCTAGAACTATGAGGTGAGTGATTTTCACTCCCCTCATAGTTCTAGCCGACCTGTGACAATGAGACTGTCACAGGTCGGCTAGAACTATGAGGTGAGTGATTTTCACTCCCCTCATAGTTCTAGCCGACCTGTGACAATGAGACTGTCACAGGTCGGCTAGAACTATGAGGTGAGTGATTTTCACTCCCCTCATAGTTCTAGCCGACCTGTGACAATGAGACTGTCACAGGTCGGCTAGAACTATGAGGTGAGTGATTTTCCCTCACCTCATAGTTCTCCTTTAAGGACCAATTCGATAAGCCCTAGAACTAGATAAGCTCTAGAACTCTGTTTTTATTGTTCTTGCTCAAACATGTCTGACTGATAAAAAAAAATCTCTCAAAAGAGGTGTAACTGCTACTACAGTTGATCCCTTGCTCATTGAACGTATGGAGCAAATGGCTATATCTTTAAAATGTGGTTGTGACAGTCTGTTAAAAGCTTCTTTTCTTGCATGGGTCTCATGTCAGCGCACATGCGTGGACTGCTGGACTGCAAAAGCTTTGTACTAGAAGCGTTGGATCCATATGATCTACGAGGGGCAACATCTCTTCGAACTGACTCTTGAAACTATCATCAAGGATTGTACTGGTAGCAAGAGCCCCCATCTTCCTCAGTTGAAGAAACTTGAAGAACAGATTGGGAAGTCTTCCCCTCTCTAAATCAAAAGAAACGTTCCTTTCATTTCTCCAAGGTCTTGGCCTCCTTGTCTAGGCCCTCCAAACGCGGTTCCCAGTCTGCCCACCACGTCTGACATTCAAAGTCTGCCAAATCCTTGGACAAGCCTTCATTGACATACTTCATTTGGTCTCAGAGCTTTCACCCTAGGTGTTCTCCCTGGGGCATATCCTCTCCTTCCTGCAGCCGCGTCTGGACCAGCGTTTGGCTCTCAGCACTATCAAAGGCCGGGTGTCTGCCACTTCTATGCTGTTTCAGAGACCAATGGCCTCTTACTCCTTGAGTAAGACCTTTTGTAAATCTGATCTCACACTGTTTGATTCTCTGTGACTTCATAGGATCTGAATCTGTTTATCTCTGTGCTTCAGAAACCGCCATTTGAATCTATTAGATCCCTTCTTTCACCCACATTTTGGTATTCCTTAGAACCATCACCTCTGTGAGACGAGTGTCTGAAACGGAAGGTTTCTCCTTCAAGAAACCCTTTTCTGGTTTTGCATAAGCACTAGGTTGTGTTGAGGCTCCGATATTCCTTCTTGCATAAAGGTAGTTTCTGCCTTTCACCTCAACCACGACATTGTTCATTTGTCTCTCTATCTGGCTTCAGTTCATAGAAAGGACATTTTCTTTCATTGCCTGGATATGGGCTGTGAGAATCTCTCTCTCACTCAGCTACTGCTTTTTTTAAGAGAAAGTCTGATATTTTGTTTTCATTCCAGATGGACTCCAGAATGGTGCTCCAGCTTCTAGATGCACTATTTCTAGGTGGCTAAGGCAGACCGCCATTCATACTTATGGTCTCAAGGATCGGGTTCTACCTTTTCCTGCATGTAGCACTCTAGTACTAGATCTGTGAGTGCTACTTGGGGTTCTAAGCACCAAGCAACTGCTTCCTAGATTTGCAATGCTGCCATCTGGTCTTCTGTTCACACCTTCTCTAACTTTTACCAGATGGTTGTTTTGGGCAGATCTTATGCCGGCTTCTGGCATAAGGTCTTTCAGGTGGTTTTCTGAGCTGCAGGCATTCTGCAGTTCTCTGTTTTCTTTGGCTTGGTATCATTTGTTTTCTGTGTTGCCTACCCCTCAGATGGACTGTTTTTGGACATCCGGAAGCTAAACACTTCTGGTGTCCCTCAGTGGACAAATAAAAAAAGGATTTTTTTTTGTAGTCATAAAATTTTTTCCTTGGTGTCTATTGAGGTCCTACCAGGTCTCAACCTATGTGTTAATGATTCTGCTCTCGGTATTGCTTTGCTACAGAACTGATGTATAGTGGTAGTGGGCAAGGGGGCGGTAATCCTGGACTGGCCTAGCCTACAGTTTTTGTTTGCCAGTTTACAGTCCTTCTGTAGTCCGCAGTATAACTCGAAGGGTAAAGACTTCCTGTGTCCATCAGTGGTATTTATGAGGGAGGTGGTCATTTTCTCCTCATGATGACCCGACTTTTTAAGCCAAAATCTTTACTATAGAAAGAGCAGACGCTGTGTGGCCCTGGAACGTGACTTAATAAAAGCGGATATTGGAATGCTATATTGGTGAGCAGACAACATCCCTACTTGCTGGCAGAAAGAACATATATGTACCGCTGTATTTTAAAACTTTGGCATGCTGATGGAAGTTGCTCTTTTCTATTCAGACAGAGGAGGGAGAAGGGCTCTGCAGATATCTTTGAATTGGCCAGGCAGAGGCTCCAGGCTACAGTACGAAGACCTTCATTAAAGGGACTGGAGAATGTGAATATGCAGAATATTCGAGAATTTAATGACCTCAAGTACCGAGGTGAGCTGTGTAAATACAGACATGTCTAATTAATTCAGGTAGAGGGTAAGAAGCTGTCATGGCAGATCTGTATAATATATTTATAGCCTATTTATAGCCTTTACTAAAAATGCAGAATGAAAAGCGCAGCAGGGCCTTTGATATTCGTACTAAAGCCTAAGCAGAGCAGCACAAATGGAATACTAATATTAAATGTGTATTCTCAGTCTAGGTGGGTGCAAATGACTATCCTATGTTATCTACCAATTCTGAATGTTAAGTTGTATTATCTTAATGAAAGCTGCAATCTAATACGTACAGACAGAAAACACCACTGAACCAGTTTTACTGTAATAAGTCTTTAGAGTTCCGCGCGTTATAATTATCACACAGAGTGCTCAGGTCAGGATGTGAATACACCAATACACAGACTTTAGTAACACAGACACATAAACTGCCATTTGGTTGTATCAAAACTATTTAAAAATAGCTTGACTTTTTCGATTGCTTTCTGTGAAGATAAATCCCACATTGGTGTCATTTTCCAAAACGGTTTAACCCAATTCCATCACTACTATAACGTTATATTACATATATGCCATTAATGTCATAGACTAAAATTGCATAACCCCGATAACAGCATGTGTGCAATTTAAAGTTGAACTTCAGGCAGATGTAATAGAAAGAAAAAATGCAGCTCTGTAATTATTAATTCACCAATAAATATTTTGCAGATGCAAGCAGTGTAAGTGCCTGAATAGATTTAGTATCTGCCTATTGTAATCTACTGTACAGCAGAGCTAAGGGAGGGGGAGGCAGAAGCAGCACAAGGAGCCAATCAAGTGTGCTGCAGTGCAAGAAGCATGCTGATAGGAGAGAGAGCAGAGTAACAGATTGGTATGCTGCTCCTATACAAAATACAGAAGTTTCCCAGTGCACTTACCGGCTAGCCTGCAACAAAACAAATGACACTGTCTAACAATATGCGTTTAAAAACAGCTGATTTAGTTGCACAAACTTTTGCAAAATATGTGGAGGCCACACACTGCCTCGTCAAGGCTCCTCTGTGTAGTGTGGTCCTAACTCTAATCTATGGGAGCCTCCATCTTGGAGCATATATAGCAGTAGATAAATTGAATGCAGGTATGCCTGGAGGGAGCCCACTCCTCCTTAATGCACAGAGATGCATGGGAGACCCAGCAAATGCATGCTGAGGCCCCCAGAG